TAAGCTGTTCCAACTCTTCCTTCAGTTGACGAATCTCATGTTGGTACTTCTTGATTAATGATTTCTCATCAATTATCTACAGTTTTATAGTGTTAGAAACCAAGAAAGGCATTCAGTACAAAAGATAAGAGCTGAAAGAAGATATGCGTGGAAAACCTTGTTTTGTTCAGCTTGAATCTCAATATGCTTTGCACGATGAGCAAATTTCAATGTGTTGTGTGTTTCTTCTGAACTGCTTGATGCAGGAGTGACTGTACAAATGAGCTACCATATCCAGAGAGAAAAACTAATCAGTAAAGTATACTACTATCAAGATATGTGCTAATAATCACGTTGTGCATTTTATACTTATTGTAGCACGAGGATTGGGAACAGCTTAAACAAGACTTACAGATACTCGGTCATGACCACTCAATGAGGATTGAAGGATCCTTGTTAACTTAGAGTCTCTGTATGGTACATGTGAAGCCCTCACATCCGTAAGCTTTGATATCACCTATAATTTTACAACAGAACTAACAAAATTCAGCCCAGAGGAGAATACTTAAAACATGACCAGATAGGCAAAAACCAAGATAAAAACAAGACTAGACAACTGTTTAATTGTAAGGTTTGGACAAGAACAGATTGGAGATAAGAGTAGCAAGCAAAATCATGCAAATGCGGAAAGGTGATTCTACAGATGAACAGGCTAAGTACTAAAAGTCTAAACTGTAAAAGACCTCAAGTTATGTATGTAAGTATATGTTTGATCTGCAAGTCTCAAAATATAGAGGGGTAGAAAGTGTGCTTAATATTTATACAACATAAAAAAAAAATCCTATTATCAGACCTTCTTTTAAAGAAAATGTCAAAGAAGTCCTTGGATTTTAACTGAACCACAAAACCTATTGTTAACTAAGTGAAAACTGTTTCCACCAAAAAAACTAAGTGAAAACTGTGGTAGGAAAAAACTTACAGTCCCTAACGTCAACAAACTTTTATTTATATATGATCCTTCTTTGCGTCTTACACCACTAGTTTCAACCTTTGAACTCTCGGAACCTGCCAGATCAACGAGGTTCTGCAGATATGAGAGAAATTATGGGTAGTTAATATCAGATGTTCACCTTTTTAACTGTCAGAAGATGCAACTAATAAACATATTAAAAGGATTGATCATAACCAGTAAATCCCTGGATACAAGATGAACCTACCAGTTGTGAGAGGTGTACCGCTTCACCTTTACTCTTGTCGCCTAAGGGACTACTTTCTATCGTCTGCATCCAAATTAGTTGATCATCTTTCAGAAACAGTACAGCTATATGAGTTAATGTGACTAAACAACTAGGATTAAAATAAAGGAGAACAGTAATTCCTTGAACAGAAGAAAACATTTGGAAGAAGAACATAATACACAACTTGTGCTGAAAAAAAAAGTATAGTTCTTCAGTATTCCATTTTAAAGCACTAAGACGATTGTAGGAATAAAAGAACTACTGACTTTTACCTTTTAACCTAATAGTAATACAAAAGAAACTTAGATTTTGTGTGCATCCATCCATATCACAAATGTAATCACGTGATGAAATGATATAGCAACTGCACAAAGATACCAGTTTTTAATATTTCAAAGAGAATATTAACATACCAACGTAAATATTGTATGGCTCCGGCTGCTGAGCAAATTAAAATTTGTAGATCCAACATGTCGTTGCTCTGTCATGAGGACAAGATCTCTATCAATATGCGTTAAATGATAAACAAACGATGACGAGATTTAACTATAACGTGTCAAGGTTTAAGAATGAAAGGGATTTACTGGAAAAAAGAAAGAGAGAATTACTCTATCATAATAAAGAAAAACAAAAACACACTTTTCAACGATAAGTATAGCCTCAAGCAGGTAGAGGAGTACACTTTCTGATAAATAATTTTTTAATAAATATACAACGACTGCAACAGTCTTTTCTGGAGTTGTATGGTTGTCAAGTAAATAAACCTATTCTTTGAAAAAAAGGGAAAGTGGAAGCACCACATACCTTCTCCAGCTGCGATAAGAGAAAGCGCATGAGCAGGGGATAAAACAACTTCTTCTTTAATCCCTTCGACAAAGGTTCCCTAGAGTCAATAACAAAGATGAGTTCAATTGAATAACTTGGAGAAAGACACTTGTAGCAATAAAAGTCATGACAAGTTCATTATAAAATACTTAGTTCAAATGATTATTAAAAGGATCAACTAAGGGTGCTTGAATAAGCAATGTGACCCAGAACATCGCAATGAAACGAAGGGCCACATATAACATTGTCATAGCAGAGTCCCCATAGAGATCAATTTCACAAGATAAATGGAACCAGTATTTTTTTCAGGCGGCTTAAAATGGTTTCCTAATAAATAAAAATATGATGCGAAGGTTTTGGGATTCTATGACCACTGTAATCACAACAAAGATATTACAAGTCAGTGAGAGCAGCACTACGCATGTTTCCAACAGAAAAGAAACAAAGAGAACCTGAAGCTGAAACACACCTGCTTGTCTTCTCTGATCCTCAAATTTTGTCCTGCTGGATTCAACAAATCATTGACAACCTGAAATAAGGTGAACCTTAAGGATAGTAACCTAAGGAAAATTAAAAGCAGCGTATTCTTATCACTCCACTACTGTTGAAATTGACTATAGACAACGGAGCAGAGAAGAAAAGTAGGTAAATAATAGCACCTCATTATATATTTCCATGTAGGAAATACGCAGAAGAAATTCTCGATTAGGAGTCTGTAAGAAAATAAATATGTGAGGTCGCTAGTACTTGGGCCAAGGAATATGAAAAAAACAATATCCTAACAAGTACCTCTTGGATGATGCTGAAAGCATCTTTCACTGCTAGTGGTATAATACCAGGAGATCTCTGGTCACCCTGACATATGGACCAAAAACATCAACCAAATCTATCAGCTCAGTAATCTAGTCAGAGGCGAAAGATATAAATATGAGACTTATTAATGACACATTGAACTACATTGTAGGAAGATATACCAAAAATACTTTCTTTTATGTAACAAGCTGAAGAATAATAAGTATCCAGATGAAGGGATCTTACATGCATTGTGTGTGTCTTTCCACTGCTTGTCACTCCATATGCAAAAATCGTCCCTGTAGTTGGATTAACATTCAATGTCACCATATTAAAATCAAGTGGTAAGCACATTGAAGTCAAATTAGTCTGAAGATTTTAACATTCATTAGTTCAGCTACGTCAAAAATCTCACTCATGAGTATCTTTTCATGATTCTTTTGAATTAGGATAAGCCTTGTTGATATAGCTTAAATGATCAATATCGCAGAACTAAGTTTTTCAACATAAGAATATGGAAAATTGCATGCTCTTCCATAAATGAGTCAAATTAGAAATTGAATTCTTAATACAAACTAGATTGGCCATTAAAACTGTTCGATTCATACCATTTACCCCCTCCATAGCCCCATTAACAACATGGTGTGCAGCAATATCATAGACATTGCGTGTTGTGGTTGTAGGTCCAAAGACTCGGTCTGCAAAAAGGAGAATAAATCATTAACTGACAGAAAGACCATTTCAAGAAAACATCATGCAAGATCCAAACATCAACTGAGGAAGAGTATCCAATTAAATCACGTTCTTCAATCTTTAAGACATCACAAGAAGTTGAAATGTATACCACATAAGAATAATACTATAATCCTTAGTTTGTTATTCTTGAGTGATGTAATGCCCACATGCAATATTTACGATGATTAGGAAACCAATTGCACTAATCAAAATGTTAAGACTAACCATAGGCATAAGCTATTGTCGGATTATGCTCATTTCGCACGATTGTTTCCCCATCTGCATACCATGCAACCTCCTCCCCTTGGCGAATTTCCCTTGGACTACGTCAAGGATAAGGTATGTCAAATACACAGAACAAACATCAACCTAATTTTTGCAAGCCTATGTAAGCATATCACCAGGAACCTGAGTGGGCGAAAGCGAACTGTCACTGTGACGTTTTCTTTAGACCGCTGAGCACTTTGTGGTAAGGAATCTGGTGAGAAAAACTGCTGCTTGCTTTGAGCAGATGAAGAAGCAGGGGAGCTATGGCCATCGATAGATGTCTCTTGATAAAGCTTCGAAGACGAGGTTGTCGAAGATGCAGTAGAATCAGCACCCTTTAACCCTGCTTTTCTCGACTTTGATCCTTGTCTAGATGCCATCACAAGTCGTAGTCAAAACTCCAAAACACTGAATAGAGACACGAAAAAAAACAATCAATAAACAGTGATAAACCCTCAAGTTTAACACCTCCATACTCGGGAAGAGTGTCCAACAACAAAAATTGCGTCACTTATTCATGAACGGAGCTCCAAACTCAAATTTAGGGGATTAGATTTCTCAAGCAGTGTCCAACAATGAGTGTTCCAAACATGTCAAGAAATGACTTGCTGAGAGATGAAGGAAATGACCAAACTCACTAATCCAACTAATTATAGAAAGTTTTGTTTCGTCAGCTCTAACAACACTAAAAACCATGAAAAAGTAAGCAGTTTGCATTAAGGTTGTCTCTAGCTTTCCATGAAATTAAAATTGCCTAAAAGTGAATTCGACCAATAAACACTAAAGTTAAAAGCCTAAACTTACGCAGTAGGACCCTCGCTTTTTCTCACAGTTCATGCCGAAGCCACACACAAAAAAAAAAAAAAAGTTGCAATTAAAAAAATTGGGGCAAAAAGCGATGAAAACAGCTAAAGAATGAGCGATGACGTAAATGAAACCAGAGAATCATAATCGCAGAGAAGCTACAACAATAACACGAAATCGTCAATTCAAAAAACCCCAATCATCGCTACTATGTAAGAGCACCGGATTTCTCGGAAACCTAACGGCATTTTAGAAACTTCTATAAGAAGACAGAGAAAAAGAGTACCTCAAGTGAATCAAAGAAGCATCGCAGCTCAAAATCCGAAATCGTATTGAAAAGGTAAGAGAAGAGATAAAGAGAGAGAGAGAATCAATCAGATTGTTCGTGGATAGCGATTGTAGTTAAAGAGAGTTTTAAATCGAAAGTCGCAATTTTCAATTCAATTGTGTGGGTTTGGTTTTCTCGTAAACAAAAACACCATCATAAAAAGGTACAGCTGAGAGAGAAAGGTAGACGAGTATACTTACATACTTACGTTTTCTGTACGTATCTGTTTATACGTATTTTTTGCCTTCACGGATACAGTTAGGAGAGAGAGTGACGATTTTTTTCCTCTTTTTTTTTCTTAAGCTGGAGAGAATAAAAGAAGTGTCTAAAATCTTGACTTTGACTTTGGCAGTTTGATGGGAAGGATTTTGTTTTTATTTATTGCCATCCAATTGAGATTCACGAGACTACTTAATGAAGAAAAAAATATTGAGTTACAGAGATAATTAGTACATTGAAGTGTCTTAGTCACAGCTTGGACCTACAAAAAAAATGAAAGTTTAACAAACAATTTGGAGAGGACAGTGTTTAGACAAATTATGTTGAATATATCAAATCAAACCAAACAAAAAGAGATGTTTAATCCATTTAGTAAAATTGTATCTCATTTCGGGTTTGATTTAATTTACGTTTCCTGTCGTTAAAACCAACCTTTTTAGTTTTCTTAATTTGACAGACTATACCACCAATTCAAAAAATCTTAGCATTACCAAACAAAACCGGCTTGAGAATTTTAAGGAAAAAACTTGTCATTATTCTTTTTAGAGGAACCAGAACATAAATTGGAATATTACCAACAACAATTCTTTATTAAGCTCCAGTTACGAACCAAAAAGACTATTTAGATTTCTTGAATGTGGTAACAGATTGATTCTCTTCAGACACCAACTGAGGAACTGGTGTCATTGAGAAGGCCATAAAAAGTGTAATATTCGGAAGTTTCTTTAAACCCAGGAATCAATTCCGACAAGACCCTCAAAATTGCAGCCAAATGCTGCATATCATTCGACGCGAATGCTGCTTCTAGGAACAGCGACGATCGCACAGTCGTCACCTGCAATTTGCATACACCGAATAAATCAAACCAAAACCATATTTAGTGTACTTTTGATCTGTTAAGATATTATACCTTATGCTTCTGAGCATATCGCAGAGCTTCAAGATAGTATCCATCTTGCACAAGGCAAGAGATGTAATCATGGTGCAAGGAGAGTTGTCTCAACATATCAAGCCCAAGTTTCCTTACCCGGATATTTTGGTTTTGGCGACCACTCTCGAGAAGTTGGAAGGCAACTTCCTTTGATGGTTCGATTATCTGCACATAAATGTAGCCTTAACTCTGAACAAGAAACTTTAGAGGTTTTGTCTTCACAGATAAAGAATAATAGCAAACCTTGTTTGTGGTGAATAGCGACAGTTCTGCAAATCGCTTACTGTAAGCTAAAAGTCTGATGGTCATCACATAGATATTCAAATCCACTTTGAGTTTTTCTGCACTTATACTACACCAATGGAATCAAAGTAAGAAAGGCGGAATTGGTAAACTGAAACTAGATCTAAGGCAAAACCACGTTTCTTTAGTCTGGAAACACAAATAGACGGAAGAAAAAAGTTAATTTACCTGCGAAGGAACTCGGTGATGATAGCAACTAGGTACTCTGATTCCTCAACCATCATTTCCTCAACAGAAGCAAATACAAACTTGTAGAGCTCATCGGGTGAAATTGCCGGTGAAGAAAGTTGAGATTCTTGCTGCTCATTAGCACAAAACATGTTCTCCTTTGAACCAGATGATAGGTTCATTTCAACATCTTCATCAATATTGCTTCCAGACGGCCTATGTCTTTCGTTATCTTCAGAATTCAAAGGTTGATAAGTGGCGAAGATGTGTTAAGAGATTGTTATTCTTTTAGCGTATTCATGCATAAATCAACATTTTCAGGTTCAAAGGTTTACCAGGAGATGCACCAGCGGTTGGAGTAGATGCAGTGGCCTTTTCGTTTTTTATTTCCTTGTATGTACCGGCTTTAACCGAGTACGAATATGCTGTGACTAGTACATCGATTGCCTGAGTTACCTGGGTTGCTGGTCGACGTTCCAAAATAATATCCCTTGCTATCCCCAAGCACAATTGTTTGGCCTGAAATAACATACTCAACAATATTATATAACAACACCATCAAAAGATCCAACCACGATTACTACACCATGACGCCGAACACTTTGAGTGAACCATCTTTCCTGGAGACACTATAAATCCACGTAATCATAAAAAAAGAGTCATGAACCGTTGCAAACCATTAGATATGGAAACAAGCACTAGTTTTTTCCTAAGTTTAGACTTGCATATAACCTTCGCTAAGTGCGCAAAAACCGTAACTAAAGTTCCAAGATTATTTTTCAATTGTCTATGATTTATTCGACATAACGGTTTGCTGCTACAAACAGGTGCTTCATCATGCTTATTTAAACTCCTATCTTTGTGTTGGAGCAATACTTTAATCTCCTATCTAAAACACAGATCAACAGAAAGTTTGGGACCTTATTTGCTTCCAACTTCCTTCGCTGCAGGAATTCTAGAAGAGACGTCCTGTCTGAGCTGCTAGCGGAAATTGCCTACAGCACATAATATTAAATACTGAACATTTGCGAAATATCTAAGAATTAACTGTCATCTGCATAAACCAATGAAAGCCAACTTGCCTCAAGATCCAAATGTATCTTCCATAAAACCTTGTTAGTCTGATCCAGAATAAGATCTGGAACAAGAAAGGTCCAGCCATCTTCATACATGACAATGTTTTCATTGCTTGTAGATGATTCTGAGCTCTCAATTTCTTTGTTAGCAGCTTGAGACGATGTGTCAGAGCCTTGGTAACCCCTCCACAGCAAAGGAAGAGGCGCAGATACAGGAGCTCGAGAATCCACAAATAAGTCGTAGATGATGACAACCTTTGCATCGATTTGGTGCACAAGCAATAAATTATCGACCACATTCACCGACAATGTGCTTGAGTATATTGGTAAAGAACCCTGTAAATAAGAGCCAATGAAATGAACATATAAAAAGCAGAACTTTGAAAAATGATCTCATGTCCAGAACACAAGATAAGTTGTTTTGCAGTGCCAAATTAGTAACATAACTAAAGAAAAAAGTAATATTAGCATCAACTACGTATAGGTTACGCTCCTCTTGCAGTTGCAATTAGAGTAACTCATGTGCAATGATTTACCTATGAACTTGCAACTTTTCAATTTTAGAAGTTTGCTGATCTTAATGCACACATGATCTCTATTGAACATATAGTAGACTTGTCTGAATACCATCTGAATAACCAGATATCAGGAACTAAGGAGAAGCAAACTTACTTGTTGAACAACTGCATCTCGGTAAAACCTGTATAGATGCAGTAGCATTGCCTCCCTGTCCACTTGTAAGCAATATATTCGGCCATAGCTGAAAGAGAATGATACAGATTTACTCTCCAGGTACGTAATGCGATAAGAAAATAGGAGGAAACGAGGAACACAGAGAAGAATCATACACAGTGACTAAGTGGAGATCTCCAGCAGAGAGAATAGGTTTACTGTTTGATTCAGATCTAGCCATGGTCATCTCAAATCTTGGTAAACGAACAACTCCTGCAGTGGAAAGCTGGAAAATGGATCATATTTTAAAGCTCCAATCACAATTGTTTGAAAGAAGCATTCAATAAGTTATATAATTGTTAACTCAACCATAAAAACTGAATGAAAACTCTAGCATATAATCTCAAGGCCAATAACATCAAATTAACTGGATGCAACCCATAAGTAAATGAAGTTTGGAAAGCTCTTTCACATAGCAAAATCCATTTTTTTATTGTACTTTTCTAGGTGTTACCTGAAATCCATTAAATGTCTTGCATTGCAATCCTGATGCAAGAAGAACCAATCGAGTTTCATGTGTATAGGTGTACCAATTCACATTCGCCTTTTTGGTTTCCACCAAACGTAGTGAATTCAACACAGAATCACAAGCGAACAAGTCCATGCCACTGAGACCAAAAAAAAAAATTCATTAGTGGAAAAAAGTAAGAGAAAGACAAATGATAAACGAAATGTTGAAAATATATCTTAAAATAGACGAGCTGAAGACAGAAATAACTATGTATAGGTTGCTCTATAGAGAAAGGAATGTGCAAACCCAATTATCAGATTCTGAAAGTGCCATTTGCCTTAGAAATACCAAGTCAAATGATACAACTATTCTAAAATGCAAGCTTAACAAGCCAATAGATTCCCGTTTAAACAAGATATTAGAATTCTCAACTACGACAAATCAGTCTTTAAAATTCACCTGCAAAAGTTGCAAGCAATCTCAGAATTGGAAACATTTCTCTGTAGTGATAATATGCAGAAATAAAGCAAGTTTTACCTGGTCTTTACAATTGCAAGATCACATAATGGAGAGTCACTCCAAAAGAATCCGAGAATGCTCTCTGATCCTGCCTTACATTTGTGGTTTAGTATCTTCTTGGTCTCTCGATTAAACAACTGTACTTCACAATCAGATCTTTGGACAGCTATCGCTTTTTTATCAAGAGAAAATCTGATTGACAGAATAGGCCCTTCATTTATAGAATCAACTGAAGGAGGTACGTCTGGATTAAAGGGGGATGTTTCCCATGAAAAGACCTAAATAAAAAAATTGAGAAATCAGAAAAGGATATGGATCATCAGGCTAATGGAAGATAACAATTACGGTTGAAACAAAATCATATAAAACATTTCAAAGGAAAAGAAAAAAACACCTGACTAGATGTGGTACATATCAGCAATCTGTTGGCATCATCATAGAACAACCCCCTGGATTCAGGAATATTGCAACGTAGGGCTGGATGATGTATATACACATGTGATAAAGCACCAGAACCAACACTTGCCTGTGAAATTGACATCCTGCTAGACATATTCAAACTTTTCAGTTTTCCAAATTTCTCAAAGGAACCAAACTGTAGTCCAGAATGAAATGTTATGAAATAGATTTCCCACTTTATAATGGGACTGAGTCACTTAAAGTTTCTATAAAAAAACATATCACAGACTATAACTCAGAATTGTTTCACAAGGATTTGAAAATAAAAAGGAAAGGCGTACATGTTAAAACTTCAAGCAGTGCTGATAAATGCCTCTAACGAGAAGGAGAATATAATTGTGATTCAAGCCTTTCCCCGGATCTACAAGGAAAAGTAAAACATGATAGTAGAACAGATTAGTCTAAAATGATCGAGACAAGCCCCTAGCAATAAAGTTCAATATACCGTATGCTGCATACAACTCTTCAGTGCAAGAAACTCTTTCAAACATATGTCTCTTTCAACCTCATGGACTTTAGATGCAACACAGCTTCCGTAGTCTTTGGCCTGTAACAAGTTGACTTTCTAGTCAATAACAAGGATTGGATCTTCAAGACACAATGCACAACTGACCAAATTGTTGCATCGCAATTGACATATATTAATTTCACTATTTCCTACAAACTCATTCTTTAATACTGATGTCGTACATAACAATTTCATAATGAAAATCAGAGAAGAAAGGACGAAGTTAAGGGATGGAATCAGAGAAGATTGACATTTCTAAGAATCTGAAAGACAAGATGCCAAACAAAAAAAAAAAAAAAAAAAAAAAAGTAACTGGAGCTGTCAAAGGAACCTGCTTAGAACAAGTAGCTAAAATCCGTCCAAGTGTAGAGGCGGTGGTGGAATTCTTTTCTTTCATGCCTGCATTGCTGAAGCTAAAAGGAAAAGTGGAAGTGGTTCAGTTCAAAACATTATAGGGAACAGTAGATTTATCAAAGCTATGTCCAAGAACTGTGAAAAAAACGGAGACTAATCTCAATTGCTCCTCAGAGTCAAAGAATTAATCTCAATTGTATTTAACCTTTATCACCCGAAATCAACCCTCATTAAGGGTAATTTTGTCTTTTTACCATTGAGGAGTATTTGAGACAAAAATTTGGAGCTTGAGGAGCCCCTGAGAATTTGTTCCGAAAAAAACCAATTTACAAAAAAAAAAAAAATGCGAATTGTGATTGCTAACTACAAATCACACAGCCTAAGGTCTTATTGAAAACCCCCACATTACTTTATTACCAACACAGCAAATCGACCAACAATTTCATCCAAATAGCAAACTCTTGTACCCATTTGAGGGAATTACAAAATAAACAAAAAGGAAATCGGAGATTACACATTAAACACACAGATGACATCCCAGGGAAATGGAAGATGACGAACAGAGAAGTGTTACCTTAGAAAACCCAGATGGAGACTGAGTTGCTCCAATCAGACAGAAAAATAGTAGTTTCGAGTTTTTGTACAAACAGTCCTCGGCTTGCTCGTCCGGAAATTGATGGTAGGTGTTCTTCAACGAACGAGCGATTACCGTGTGAAGAAACTAATGAAAAGGGATCGACACGTGTGGAAATGTCATTACAATTGGGCCTGCAGACCCATTATGGCCCATAACATCTGGTACGTTAATATCAATGTTAATCCGGTCTCACATGAAAACCGGGTAAAATTGGATCGTGATAAATCGACCAGAACCAATGAACCGGAAATCTAAGATATTAAAAAAAAATTATTATCACTTTAATATTCAAAAGGTACATTGAACCCGAAGCCCCTTTGATCTATTGGTTGACCAAGGGTTGATTAATGCTTCTACACCAAGAGGTTTGGGGTTCAAGTCCCAGATATTGTGATTTATTAACAAATTTGCAAATTAATGGAGGCAAGTGTGCAAGAGATCTCCAGCGATGTACAATTATAGCCGTTCGCCAGGATTCTACGCAGAGAAGGAAGTGTCGCCAGGTCGTGCATCATTGAAGGTATTCATCAAGATCACGAAGAAGGAAGTGTAGTCTGTCGTGGATCTAGTAAGGATCGGAAGGAATTGTCAGTTGTAGAATCGTCTATGTATCAGTTCTCATAATTTGCAATTAATAATAAATTTAGACGACAAAAAAAAAAAAAAATACATTGAACCCAAAAAAAATGACAAAAATTCGTAGCCTTAATATTTTTGTATACTAAATCAAGGATGCATGACAAATACATTGTACTCAAGAACAGCATTTCCTGTTTTAACATCGAATCAATGAGTCTTTCCTTCAGCATATCCTCTAACGAATCGAAACACGCCACTGCCTCCGACCACATGCATTTCCCTAATACCGAAAACACTAGGTTTTGTCCTGGAATGCTAATCGTGCTTCCGTTATATTCTCCCTCTGTGAACACAAAACGGAAAATCATCAACAATCCCAATTCGGTTCCAGATGTGGCTAAAGTCATACCTAGTGCATACCATATCCTCTTCGAGGTTGCATTGGGAAGAAGAGTTAAGGGATCGTCTATTACGAATACGAACACAGAGCCAATATATGTGTGCTTCTTTGGGCTGCTTTGGCTACTTTCGCTGCTTGTTGGATTGCGAGAATAGATGTCAGGAAGTAGAATTCAAAATATGTTTATTTGGTTTAATCTCTTATGGTTGGAGACTTAGATACTTTTACAAGCTTATTCATAAATGACGTTAAATTCAGATAATTAACATCATACTACAAATTAAGACGCTTCGAAACAGACGGTATTAATCTTTTGTCACTTTATGGCGCCCACTTTAAATAACGTATTAATCGACGGAACCAACCTCCCTTATAGTGATCAGTGTAGATGTTAGTCAACTTTTCAGAGGCGATTCCTATTATTCTCCAACTTTTTCGATCTCTAAACTCTTTTAGTGAATCTATAATCATGGTTTGTTCCGTTGCGGGTGAAACAACTTCTTCGAATGGAGCTTTATCGGGAGCTTCAACGTAAATATCGAAATCTGAAGTTGGAGATATGGCCACATCTTCCAATACTTCCTGTGAATGTGGATTCATTTCGTAGGAAAAAATTGGACGAGCCATGTAAAACATTATTATGGATACAAGCATTACCAATTTACCATGAGAAAAGACTGTCATATTTGCTTGTTGGTTAATTTGGATGTAAGATTGGTGACAAACAAACAAGAGAGATGTTTTTATATGGCAATCCGTTAGGGTATTTTAGGCTTAGGGTATTTAATTGATAAAACGTTTATTCATTAATAGTTTTATGTTAGGCACTTCATAAACCTCAACATTTAATAGTTGTGTTTAAAGAACGCGTTTACATTAGAGACTTATAAGATTTATACATGTTGTAACTTTTAACTTATCTTGGATATCGAACATGAGTAGATTTTGGGCAAACTCGAAGATAACATGATGTCATGGAAGTAGAAGTGGAGACGGTTAGTTTCTCTTGGTTTAGGCCTAATGAAGATGGAGAAGTAAAACGTAACAAAGCAATAAGATTGAAAGTGATTTTGATATGGTTTTGGCCATTGAGAGATGGAACATATATAATGTACCACAGTTAAAGTTTTGAAATTTCAATTTGTAAATGTGTGAGTGATGATAACATTATTAAATACGAAAAAATGTGAATTTTTGATTTGTGGGTCTAGGGTTAATATATAATTATCTATTGTGAATCTGTGATCCATATTTGAAACGTGGTCTACCAAAGCTAATTGTGAATCTTATTACTAGCTACTGGATTATTTGCTTTTTAGCATGGCCATGATATCCAGAAGACAAATACATCGAACGTAACGATGAATGCATCTACGAGCGCCATAGCATGACTTTCTTGGGACGAGGATCATGGATGAATAAATATACTTGTTGAACAACATATGTTATGTTGCACGAGCAAATTAATTTCACATGGCAACGTTATCGACTAATGACAGTACGTAGTTTGTTGAAGTGAATTAATGAAGAGCGGAAAAGTCATAGAACATAGAAAATTACATTTGTCTTGTCTGCTAGAAATAATTTTAATGAGTTTTGCAAATTAGAAAATCATCAACATGTAAAGAATTCTATAAATCTAGGTTTTAAAAAACAAAGAAAGTGGTGAAGATGAGAGGCGTAACACCAAACTATCACCATTCTTACACTTTAATTTCTTCTTCTTCTTCGTTGTCTTATTAGCTCTGGTTCGTCATGTGTTCTCGATCAATACTTTGTCATCTACAGAAACTCTGACAATCTCAAGCAACCGAACCATTGTATCTCCCGGTAACGTCTTCGAGCTTGGTTTCTTCAAAACCACAACAAGCTCTCGAAATGGTGATCGTTGGTATCTTGGGATTTGGTACAAGTCAATCTCTGAGAGAACTTATGTATGGGTTGCTAACAGAGACAATCCTCTTTCCAAATCCATCGGAACATTAAAAATCTCTTACGCTAACATTGTCCTTCTTGATCATTATGATACTCCTGTTTGGTCAACGAATCTGACGAGAATGGTGAAATCTCCAGTGGTGGCAGAGCTTCTCGATAACGGCAACTTCGTGCTTAGAGACTTCAAAAGCAACAATCAAAATCGATTCTTGTGGCAAAGCTTTGATTATCCGGTTGATACTTTGCTACCGGAGATGAAAATTGGTCGGAATCTCAAAACAGGACACGAGAGTTTCCTCAGTTCTTGGAGAAGCCCTTATGATCCCTCAAGCGGAGGCTTCTCTTTCAAACTCGAAACTCAAGGGCTACCTGAGTTATATCTTTACAAGAAAGAGTTTCTATTGTACCGATCCGGTCCGTGGAATGGAGTCGGGTTTAGTGGCATACCGACGATGCAAAACTGGAGCTACTTTGACGTTGTTAACAACTTCATAGAGAACAGAGAGGAAGTTGCTTACAGTTTCAACGTCACCGACCATAGCATGCACTATTTGAGATTTACACTGACTTCCGAAGGATTATTACAGATATTCAGATGGGTTACGATATCATCGGAATGGAACTTGTTTGGGGTTTTACCGACCGAGAATTGTGATTTGTACCAAATCTGTGGTCGTGACAGTTATTGTGACATGAAAACGTCACCGACGTGTAATTGTATCAAAGGCTTTGTTCCAAAGAATGTGACGGCTTGGGCTTTGGGAGATACGTTCCATGGATGTGTGAGGAAGTCACGGTTGAACTGCCACGGAGATGTTTTTTTTCTGATGAAGAGGATGAAGCTGCCGGATACAAGCACATCAATTGTGGACAAGAGAATTGGGTTGAATGAATGTAAGGAGAGGTGTTCTAAGGATTGTAACTGTACCGGGTTTGCGAATAAGGATATCCGAAATGGTGGGTCGGGTTGTGTTATTTGGACCAGAGAGCTCAGAGATATGAGGAATTACGTCGCCGGAGGTCAAGATCTTTATGTCAGATAAGGCCTCTATAACTAGACTTGAACGTTGGAGCTCTTGATATTTTAGAAGATCGGAAATTCATATGATCCGTGATTTATAAATATCTATATATATCCACTAAAAATATTTAAGAATAATAATACAAAATTTGAAGTATTATTTCAGAATCCAATTACTTCGAAAAGTCCATATATAACTTAAATTTTATATCGGATTATATCGAATATGTATTTTGGAATTCTGAACATTTTACCCACCTACGCGAGATCATGATATATTTGAAAGTTATCACTTTGCATATGCGTTTTTACTTTATGTTGGATGGATTAATTCGAATGATGAGTAAAAACGTAATATATTGTAAGGCTCTGACTTCTTGATTACCAAAAACAAAATGATAGTTGTTTTAAAATGGTAATAGTCAAATTACAAAAATTCATAGACACATTAGTTTACTGCTCCAAAGAAACCGGAGCACCAATCTTGCTCCCAACTCTACGGACACAATCATTCCATGTTTGTTTACTATTTGGAATACCCTTAGATGCAATATTCTTATATTCATACGTGGCGAATATGATTTTAACCAATCCGAGATGACAATCTTTGCCCATCTTCAATATATCACGACAACATTCATCTGTAATTGGCGTAGTCTCATCCAACATGTTCTTGAAAACCTCATCTCCGCATTTTACGCTCGGCTTTTCAGCGCAAGCCTGGAGAAAATCGAGCTGTTTGTGCGAGTAATGGTGAGCAAGCTCCATGTCATATTCCATTGCGGGTGAACCAGCTTCTTCGAATGGAGCTTCATCGGGGGATTCAACGTAAATATCGAAATCTGAAGTTGGAGATATGGCCACATCTTCTGGCACCTCCTGTGAATATGGATCAATTTCCTGGGAGAAAATTGGACAAACCATTACTATGGACACGAGCATTACCATGAAAACAGACTTTGCCATATTTGCTTTTGGTTTTGGAAGTAAGAATGTTTGTGGTTTTGAATGTAAGATTGATGACATTAAACAAGAAAACAAAAGATTTTATAGGACAATCACTAAAGGGTACTTAATTAATAAAACATTTATTCACTAATAGTTTTATGTTACTAACTCCATAAACCTCAACATTTAATAATTTTGTTTAAGATACGTTTACATTAGAGACTATAATATTTTTACAAGTTGACTTTGTCTTGGATCGAACATGACTATAGATTTTGGGCAAACTTGAAGATAACAACACTCCCTTTTTTCTTCAAATTATTACAAATCAAACTGATATATTAGACACAACACGACTACACGGAATGAAAAAAAAAAAAAAAAAAAAGATGAAAGAAAGGATTGATTTTGTTTGGTCTGGTTAAGTGAGATTTGAATTTTAAGCTCTTCCTTTCAAGACATGCCTTCTTAAACCGGGAATGTGAACGTTTGTAATGTAGTCGGTCCAGTTAATGCTTCCAACATCAAACCCAAACTCTCTCTTCTCGTCCTCTGACATCTTCTCCATTAATCTCTGTGTATTGCTGTTGTCAAATCTGTAAAAGACACCAAAGCAATAGATGAAAACTTTGCGGGTTTGGTTCGGTCTGCTCTAAGAATTAGATTGTTAGTTCTGTCTTACCTTCCACCATAGAAAGTGTATGGCTCATAAATAGTAGCAAGGTGTTTGGCTTGTTCAACAGATTTCTTGCATATAAACTTTAGCTTCTGCATCATCTTATTATCCACTGAGCTCATACCACTCATCAACCCGCTCCGTTCTTGAGCATCTCTCCACAAATGATCCGAGAAATCGTCAACTGAATTGAAAAGTTTCATCAAACGCACCATAATTGGATCACCTTTAGAGTCCATGCACGGGGATGACTTGTAGTGGTTATAAAGAAGCTCCGCTAAGTCTTCGAAAACCAGCGGGTTTATCGCCGAAGAAGCGATCTGATACACATTTATTTCAGGTTCCGGATCTGACATTGCCATTCCATGCTTTGCTATAGCAGCTAATGTTGCATTAACAACCATATCAGCAGGAACCACATCAAGAACTCCTTTTGGATCAACCAGAAACCCCGTGAGCTGTCCCTTCCCGTAACATAGAACTATAGGATCCATCATCCTGATTTTTAGGTAGCATGTAACACGATTGAAGAAGAATTAGTTTTGTTACACAGCATATATATGTAACATTAGAATATAGTTTTACCTGTTTCCTTCCATCCATCCAGGGAAAGGGTCTTTGTACGTGCTTTCGATGACGCTGGGCCTTATAATAACAACAGGTACGTCTCCTCTAGTGCTATTGATCATCATTTCACCCATTGCTTTCGTGAAAACATAAGTGTCTTGCCATCCATATGATCTTGCCCTGTTTCAATAATTTGTGTGTTTAAGGTTGTTGCAAATATTTGAGCGAAAAATCGATGTAGTTAAGCTGAAGATTTTGGAGATTAATACCTCTCTAGACCGAGATCCTTCATCTTCTGCGCCTCATCTTGATTTTGAGTCCCTTTTCTAGCAGCTTCAAGAGCTAACTTCATCTCTCTATCAACATCTAATGCTTTTCTGTTTCCTTCGAGGAAGTTCTCGGTTGCTATACAATCTCCCATCGAGAATGGCATCTCCATGATCCTTCCTTGTCTTTGTCCATTCACATAAGCTGCACAAGAAACCGGACCATCAGGAAAACCTTTTTTAGCTCTGTTTGTTTTGTCACATTCACGTACCTGTGGATACTTGCAAGAACAGCTTGAGCTTCTTGCACTTCTTGGCGAATCCCATGAGATTACCGGGCCCTCTTGTGTTTATGTCCAGAGCAACATCGTATCTTCAATCTCCGCCACAAAGATAACAAGATTAGTAAATATCTAGATAACTAAACAAGAGAACTCAAAACACATAATCTGACAATTTCCAACCTTTCATTGAAGGTTGTATTAGCAGCAGAATTGATAATCACATCAACTTCTTTAGCAATCTCCTCAGCTGAATCTGCTTGCAAACCAATGTCTGAATCGCAAATGTTTCCGGTCACAGGGATGAGTTTAGTTAACATGAATGACATGTACGATGCTCCATGAGTCTCTTTTAGACTATTAAAAAGCTCTGCATCTAACACCTGTAAAGGAGGCCAGAGTTATGCACATAACAAGTAAAGAACTTGACTAACAAAGAATCAAAATGAAAAGAACTTACCTCGTTCTTTAACCGCTCAATCGCAGCTTCTTTGTTTTTAGCTTTAATCAAGAGATATATCTTGCTAACATCCGGAGCCATTCTCAAGACTTTCTCAATCAGTACTAGAGATATCAAAAGAGAAACAATTTAGAGACCGAAAGTTGCGGAATATAATTAATGAACATACATGTAGTTGTTTTTTACCTTTAGCTAAGAAACCGGTTGAGCCAGTGATTAGAAACTTCTTCCCTTGGAGGAAACTGATTATGCCAAGTCCTTCTTTCATACCAACCATAGCAGCACCACTAAAAGGCATCAAAGTCTTTACTCCATTGATCTCAATGGTTCTCCCATTCCCGTTTGGAGACAGAACCAATGTCTCAGCATCCATAGCCGGCGAACTCTGTTCCCTAATCAGTACCTGACCTCTGTCTTTCAAAAGCGAAGAAACCCGAATGGGTCTCTCTGCGTTACTGTTTCTCCCACCATCACCACCACCTACACGGCACCAAGTGGGACCGACCCTTTTCTTATCTCTAACCAATGTAGACCAGTCACAACGGTTGTGTAATCTAGCAAGTTTGTTTGATGCAACGATGGAGGAAGAAGAAGAAGAACTCAAGAAGAGAGCCTCCATCACAAGCTAAGAAATAAGAAATAGAGAAAGGGTCATTTCTAAATAAGACTATCAAAATATCTGTGGACATTGTACAATTCTAAAACAAATACCATATTTCATTATATTATCTTTGAGGAAACAGAAGCTTGTTGGGTAAGAAATTGGTGACTTGTAATATACTTAACCTAGAAAGCATACCTTTGGTGATGAGCAACAAGAATATACTTAACTAGAAAGAAGATTAAGTAAACCAAGAACAGAATTAATTATTTCTTATTTTGTTATCGTTAAGACTTAAGAGACAAGTAAAGTAGGTTTTGTTTTTATAAGAGGAATGAAAGATTGGTTAGTTCTAAGGACAAAAGATGATGAAAAACTTCCTCTGTTTTATAGGCAAATAAATATTTTAAAAATCAAGTGAAATAAAAGATTGCCTTACGATCTTCTTTCCAACATTTGATCAGTTTCCTCCACGTGATCTAGATTTCAGAAAAAAAAAAAGAAAGAAACGCATTATCAGTTTCAAAAATATTGCCATTAACCTATAAGAAATCAACCAATGATAAATATAGCTAACTTAAAAAAAATCTCATATCTTCGTGTTGGGATTTAGGTAATTCACATCACATCTTAAGGTATATGGTCGCCATCTTAAATCTGTTAACATGAGATGATTCATCTGTTTAAGATCAGAAGTAACCAAAATGTTCCCAATCTTATAGGTGGAAAAAATGAATCGTACTATGAAGTACTCAAACATGCAACCGAAGATGAATAATTTAGAACAAGGAGACATTAAGAGAGAACCTTAAACTCGTGGTGAACAGAGAGCTACACATATGACTTTAAAACCTTTGCGCTATCTTCTTGGTTGTGTTATACGAGATGAGATCTCCAGAACAAATTCCAAATGTGGTTTAAACACGAGCCGACCTACCAACAATTGGGTCCGCAATAAACAAGATCCATTGACTAAGAGTTTGTCGGTGCTTAAGTAATTAACAAATGGCCACATTTGTCTTAAACCTTATTAACTGTGTCATAGGTATATGTCTACTTTCAAAAAGGTAGATACGATTATTAGAAAAGCGCGATGGGAATTTGTAAACGAAAAATTTATGCTTTCAAATGATAACAAAATTCTCTCAATAAAGCACTATTTAAGATACTAGCATAGATGTCATGCATTATTGTTAAGATACAAGCTACCATTAAGCGCTAAGGAAATGAAACCAAACAACACAATGGTTTCTCTTCTACTACAAGTATGATCTATTGTTCCTCCATATTACTCTCAAAGAGTACTATATCACAAATGCTTACTCATATATTACTAAGTCCCAGAGTGTAACACCAGACCCCATCTTCACCATCACCTGCTACAAGTCACCTTCAGTATCCGGGACTCCGGCTTCTGCTTATCGATTCATACCGGGACCTTGAGCTTGACCTTGAGTATGATCGTTTCCTATCCCCCGGGGAAACCGATCTGCACAAGATGTACAGTATGGTATATGTATGTAAGAAGAAGATAGATTGAGAAAGTAAAATTATACATACTTACCCATAACTAGTTAGAATCAAATTCAAAGAGTAGATTTGATTATACATGGCTGAATCTTTTCCTCAAATCGAAAAAATTTAAAACCTTTGAAAACGAAACTGGGAGTTAACACCCCAATTACAGTACCTTGAATGACATCTATCATCATTTGGTGAACGTGAACAGCTTCTTCTGTACTTCGGTGATCGTGAATAGCTTCTCCTGTGTTTTGGTGAACGGGAATAGCCAGGAGACCGGGAGTAACCATGTGGAGATCTTGTCGATGTTCTGCCCCTGAAATTGACATTCAACTTCATTAATTGTTTCAACAAATGCAACACAGAGAGAAAGCTACTAACAGTTAACAATTGTCAACAAGCTAATTTGATGAAATTCAAGCTAAACCTTGATCGTTCTCTCATTTCAGAGGGCTTCTTTCTGTTCTCCTCTGCAAATACTACAGTAATTTCACGTCCAAGGAGTACATAGCCATCTAAATGATACTTTGCATCTGCAGCATCAGCAGGATCATAGTACTGCACAAAGCCAAACCCACGAGGCTCCCTGCAAGTTCATAGCATCAAAAATTATGAATACAAATCTAAAAACAAGTACTTCTCCTCTAAACCAAATGTAGTGATAGAGCTTTGCGCACACAAAAAAAACTTAGAAATACAACCAACACGAG